ATATGTTTTTTTATTGTATTTAGAGATTTTTTTTTTATTATGAACTTTAAACATCAAGACATGTACAACTATACTAGTTTATTTACAAACACAAAATACCCAAGATACATAAGCAGAAAGACCCATTGTAATTCTTCTTATGAATACCACAATTAACAAATGTTCTTCTATTTTGCTACACATTATTAGAGGCATCCCCAGTATAAGCTCCTGGCATTAACATTGAACAGCCTGTTATAGGGTAAATTAATATCTGAAATTATACACGCCACCCATCAAATGGGAAGATAAAAGTTAAAAGAAGACAAAGGGTCTTTACTGACTAACACAATCAGGTACATAGTCTTCATTTTCTAACCTTCAATCGGACACTGGCAGTAGACAATTTTACGGTTGTTCTAAAAACTTCCCCGAAACTTTTTTTTTTTTAACTAAATCAACCCCATAGTTCACAACAGCATATTTGCATAATTTCATATTAAAGTAGCACTCCTACTTAATTTACTTAACTAGAAGCTAAGTTCAAGAAAGAGAAGGCAAACCATGCAGAGACACTTCAGTCAACTTAGTTAATACAAATTGTCTTGTTATCAAACGCTTCAGGGCATAAATCCTAGCAGTGTTTAATTTGACAGTGCCAAATACTTGCCACATGTATGTTGTTGGGGTAGATTTACTAAAACTGGTGCAGACAGAATCTGTTGCAGCTGTGCATGGTAGCCAATCAGCTTCAACTTGTTCATTTAAGCTTTGACAATAAAACCTGGAAGCTGATTGGTTTCTCTGCAGAGCTGCACCAGATTTTGCACTCTCCAGTTTTAATAAATAACCCCCATTATGTTAATCTATCCCTCCCTGGCGGTATTCTTGAGTGTAGCTCAGGGTTAACTTTCAGTACCATAAGCGGTAACCCCGAGCTACACTCGGGCTTACCATGCGGCGCTGCTCCGGGATCCCGTGATCACTTACCTTGTCCTGCACTCCCGCGATGTCCCTCCTGCAGTGTCCCCAGCAATGTAATCTGGCAGATGCCGGCATCTGTCATCTGGGTTCCGTCCTCTGCGAGCGTCGGGACGTACGGGGGACGGAATTTGAAAATGAAAAAAAGTGACATTCACAAAAATCACTAAAATCACATAGTGAAACATTACTGTACCAAACCATTTCACATACATTTTGTCCCAAGTGCTTTGTCCTGTGCCCTGCCTGCATTTTTACTGTTCTTTCTGCCTGGAAACTGAGAAATGTCCATGGCGTTCAAAAAGCATCCCTTTAGGTCAAAAGCGGTTTTAGACCAGCTAGAGAACAGCGATAGTAAATCAGAACCACTTGCAGAATTGAGTGATAATGATTCGTGGGGAAATTCGTCATCAGACACTGAAAACAATTTTGCGACTTTGCTCAGTGATGTGCGAACTTGGCGCTATATTTCAAATTTCAGTGTTTTTGGTTTGATTATATTATTGAATTAAATGTATTATTATTAAAATTTTTATTCTTTATGATTATTGATTAAATTATAATTTATGATTTCGTGTTTCAAGTTTTATCATACCCGGGATGTTTACTAGACTCTTGTTCGGACAGATTTCAGTGAGTTATTCCTAAGAATTACAGGCCTACAATATAAAACGCCAAATTTCCATGCAAAATATTGGTACCGCATTCAGCACCAAAAATCTGAAATAATCATACCGCCAGGGAGGTTAAAAAGTAATGTAAACTAACTCTTTAAGAGAAGAGTAGGCACCATAAGGTGGCAGAGCATACCTTTAATTTTACCAACCTCCTTTCAGAGTACCAACTTCTCCACCCCCACCTTGGTGCCAAGGAGCAGAGCTGAACATTGGCCTTGACATTGGCATGCCTCTGCGCCAACTTTCAGAAAGTTAACACAGGCACTTCTGGGGATCCACAGAGCTCTGGTGGAACTGAAATATGCACTGGCACTCTATGCTGCCCTCTCACTCTGAAACAGCTAGCTTATTATTTTGTTACATACACTTTAATATGCTTGTGATTGTGGTAGGTAACATATATACTGTATATGTACATATGGAAGAACATATGGACAGCATGACAATAATGTGCTTTACCAATTCACAAGCAAGAAAGCCTTCCAAAGGAAGTGGCTTCCAAGGAATTGGCTTCAGCAAGGCAACTGTGGTGGAATTGTCTGACTGAATTAACCAATTTCTCTGCTTTAATATGAAAAGAAGCAAACAAACTACCCTTAGGCCTCTAAGGTTGGTCAAGAATTGTTTCATGGATTTTGTCTGAGAGGTAGGTTCCCCAGTTTCCAGAAGCATCTGTCCCGAGAGTGAAGCAACTGTCCACCTTGAAGCATGTTCTCTTAATGATGCCCTAAGGAGCTACCACCTTAGCTCCTGTATGGTTTAATTGCCTCTCAAATCTCTGAATCAAGGAAGTCTTGATGTTGACACTTGATGCTGACATCATAAATTCCAGAATTTCCCAATGTAGAGGTCACATGTGTGGTTTTGTTCACTGAATATTCTCCAGCAAGGCTGTTATAAGGCTCGGTTCACACTAGTAGTGCGGGCCGTGCAGCCTGCATTTGCACAGAGACAGTAGCCAATTAATTTGAATGGGCTGCTGTGCCCACATTTCACACAAGGAAAAGATGCATGCACCTTTTCCAGAACGCACCTGCAGAGCAACCGCATAGTCTTTTTGACCATGAGGATTCCGCACAGTTCCCACACGTGCGATCATGCTGCGGAATGAGACGCAAATGGCACCCCCACATTTCGCAAGGAAAAGGCAATGCGGGTGGTTGCGGGTGAGGAAACAGGTGCGATTTCTGCAACCGCAACCTCAGTCATAGTGTGAACCAGGCCTGAAGCCAGAAATTCTCTCCAGGCAAGGCAAGGACTGATTGGGATTGTCTACAGGCAAACCAAACGTTTCCGGTCTCAGAAAGATCCATATTTCTCAAGACAGGGTTAATAGAGTGCTTTCTAAGAGTTAATATATGCTTTAAAATCCACAACCAACTTTCTAGTGTCCATAATATTTCTCAATATGCTTTGTGGTTGACATCTGTGTACAGCAATTTAAGTTGATGACATTTTTACATTGCAATTCCAGTTCAATTATTGTAACTCAACAGTCACCCAACCATAGAAAACCCTTAAGAAACTGGTGGCATGGAAGTACCAAGAACATACAACCATACACTACTTCAGAATAAAACTATTAAGTGCTGAGCTTACTCAGAATGCTTTCTTTTCTAACCTATTTTGCTAATTCTTGCTGTGTATCTGTTTGGGAAACACTGCTTTATTATATATATATATATATATATATATATATATATATATATATATTGAGAGAGAGAGAGAGTTAACAGAATAGATTACCTATTGGAATTTTCTTGCCTAATTCCGGTTCCTTTGACAACTCAAAAATAGCTTCCCAGCTGTGGCCCTAACCACTCCCCCTTCCTCCCTCTTTGCGTTGTCTATATTGGCCAGCCTGCTGCAAATGAGTCACCCATGCTGGGGCTGTGTGCATCAACTGAAACACACAGAACCTGGCAAGCCGTGCTCTTCCTCCTAGCTCCCGACAGACAATTCCAGGAGCCAATTCCCCTATCCTTACCTCCTCTCTGCAAACTGGAAGTTCAGCTGAACAGTGAGGATTGTCGAGGACCCAGAGGTGGGAACATACAATGAAAGCTGTTAAACATTTCGAACAATCAATATTTTTTTTAAACTCATACAGACATCTTGAGGTGTAGTAACCATACTTTGGAGCTGCTTATGCAGCCCAGGCATTGAAGGATGAAAGGAGTCTGACACCTGAACAAGTCTTCTGATTGTATGTGGATTTGGGGTGGGAAGAGGCATGATCACAGTCATTTTCAGTGGCTGTAGGCATAGCAGATGTACACATTATGTAGCTGGAGTTTCCAGCCTAAAAAAACACTGGGTGTAATTTTTGACCCACACAAGGGAGTAATTATATATATATATATATATATATATATATATATATATTCTTGAGTATTGATCTTAGCAGCAGTAGCAACATTACTTTAATTAATATCATATTACTCTGATATTGCACACAAGTGTGTAATTTGGCATCTCCACGATTTTTTCTGGAATGTGCTCTATATCCAAAAGGTTGAATTGAAAAACTAGAAGTCAGTAGTTATTTTACTAGATAGAAATGATAGAGGTATGGATAATTCAAATATTTATAGGTATAGAAAATTGTAATAACAGCACATGAGCATGGTGGGGTTGGTTTTGCAAACAGAGAAGTAGGTAGGATATTTCTGACATCGTAGTGGAGAGGCATGGCTTTCTCAGTGCTCAATTGCCAGCCCCTTCTCATTTCCATCAAGAATGGAACATATGGATGTCTTTATCTGTACTGACGTCTTGGAATAAAAATAAAATACGATCACGTTTTCTTTCTTTTCATTTGTCAATGGAGTATAGGTTCTTGGTAGCTTTCTGGAAAATATGTTGCACTTTTGTTTTTTGGCCAATGGTGTCCTCAACTCTTTGCATATTTCCCACATTTGGGTGTTTTAGCAGCATACATTCTGGTGAGCAAAACAGATGTTTGTTTATATCTTATATTTTTATATATATTTCAGCACAATTGGACTTATTTACTAAGATACTGTAAAGGTCAGTGGTTTGCAGTCACCCATAGAATTCGACCCAATTTCATCTTTTTTTCATCTTGTTTAGCCTATTGAAAGGTGGCATCTAATGAATTGACATGTATAGTTGAGTCCTTTGCTTTATGCTACTATATAATCTCATAAATGAGTAGAGGAGATCCTAGGAATCAATATTCAAAGATAATCTTTATATAGTAAACATGGATAATGAAAATGCAAGAAAGAGGTAGATGTATATACCAGGAACAGCAATGGTAAGAATTTTATCTTGACTTATGTTATATTCCATTTTCCTTCCTCTCCACACACAGGATTAATACAGAGCTGATGTTTTTTGTTAACTGTCATCTTTTTTGTTTCTTAGTAAAAGATAGTTTAGTCCAATTACTGTCTCTGCAAAGTCAACCAGTTCTACAAAATCTGATGTAATGATATTAACACCCATGGCACCTGGTTTCTGCATCTTCACCCAGTTCAATATCATTGGAAGATTCCTAAGAATAAAAAAAAGACATGGCACAATATTAATGCATACAAATATAGTAACAGTTATTTCCTGTATGTTAAAAAGGAATGGCTTTGTGCATGCTATGTTGTGATATGAATTGTGGGTTCTGTTATGGCTATGGGGACCTTCATGGGTGGGGAGTCCTGAACTAAGCTGTATTGATTAGCTGTAGTCTTGTCAATACTATAGACATGTGAATGATGAAATAATGTGTTTTGTTTCGTTATTTAAATAATTTTGTTTAGTTAAATTTGTTTAATTTGTTTTCAGAATTTATTTGTATTCGAAAAGTATCGAATCAGCATTCAAAGTTATTCTATTCAAAACTCGAATTTCAGAAGACGGTTATATTCTTTCTATTCTATTCCATTGTTTTCTATTCTATTACTTTCTTTTCTATGCTATTTGATTCTTTTCTATTCCTTTATTTTTTATTCTACTTTATTAAAATATTTTTTCTATTCTATTCTGTTTTACTCTATTCTTTTCTTTTCTATTCTATTCTTTTCTATTCTATTCTTTTATATTCTATTCTGTTTTATTCTATTCTTTTTGAAACTCAAATTTCGGAAGACGACTATATTCTAACACTAATACACACAGTCTTTGAAAGAAATCAGCAATATTCAGCAATATGTTTATATTTCAAATTTGATTCAGTTTTCAAACTCAGTTCAAATTCGATTCAAGTTTGAATTTCACCTGAAATTTCCTAAGAGTGAAAAACTTGTTTGAATTTTGATTCGGAACAAAACAAACCACACGTCTACAATACTATCTGGTGCTGGATTACAAAACCGGTTCAACAGAATTACAACTTCTTTGGCAAATAAGACATTCCATATATAAATATTTTCTGATTTGCTTGGCACTTAGCTTTAAAGTCTAAAGTTCCAACGATGTCTGATGAAGAGGGCCTGTCCCTCAAAATACATCAACATGCACATCTGATTGCTATCTGGGTCTTGGTGTATCGTGCCCAACCTTTCTGGATTTGAGACCTGTGTATTTTACGCTTTCTTGCCTATGGCAATTTGTGAGTATGTTAATAGTACTTCTTTATTAAAATAAAATGGTTAATGGGTACTGCACTAGGCCTTTCCGACCTTTTGTTTTGGTTTCACTGTTTATCAGATGGATTCCCCAATCTGAAGAGGACTGCATTGGTGGAACATTGCCGGTTATGCCAGGATAACCATGAAGAGTGATATACACTGACACTCATCTGGGTTCCAGTCACTCCATAGCACTATGCTGTCATTTCTTTGCCCAGTCACTACAATGCTACAGCCAGTAATAATCTGGGCCTTGCATTCAGTTTGGATAGTGGAAACCTTAAAACACCGTCCCAATAACACTGGACATGTGTGAGAAAAAAAGGCCACACAGGTTCCCAAAGGCAGAGGCTTGACCACAACTGTAACCTCTGCAAACCCTGTTCCTACACTCCTGCAATTTACATAGTCTCCTGAGAAGCTTGAGGATCTCAACTCTCAAGAGTCTACGCTCATGTGCAGGAGTACATTCTTGGGAGATTTGAATGCCTAGCATTTGTTAGACGGCTGCAATTTTCCACTGCAACTTTTGCATGGGGGGGCGCTAATTACAAGAGGTTATGTCAATGTTAGTGAAATGTCCATCCACTTACTGATGCTTGGTAAATTTGCAACAACCGGCTTCTGAAATGTCTGTTTTGCTTTTGGCTATATAAAATTTCTCATAAAATTATAGTCAACAGTTTATTTCATATTTATCTTATTTAATAAATAAGCAAGTATAAATTATCTTGATTTACCTAATGCAATGGTTTGTATTTTAACATTTACCTGTAGATAATACAAAAAATGGCCACTGCCATAGTCTATAACTGGCCTTCACAGCAAGGAGCACATGGAAGGGCGACTCTTGTCAAACAACAAAAAAGAAAAATTCCCAGCTCTAACTTGCCAGCCAGCGTGCAAACAAACCGAATTAACCTGTCTAGCAGTAGGCGTTAAAAACGGGTTTAGTTAACACACATTTGCATACACATGCAGAAGCTACAGAGCCTCCTCTCGGCACCCCAGTATTCTGTAGTTCCTAACTCTCCAATTTTAAGAGCCCCCATAGTAGAGGCACATGTATTTAATGGATAGACCAAGGGAAGATGGACCTGAGGGAGCCCACCCCTCCTTAAAGGTACAGGAGCGCACTGAACACCCAGCAAGTAGCACAATGGCAGCTAAGGTGTCCAGTGCGCCCCCTCAAACAACAATTCAACAGTACAAAAAATTACCACTGCCTCAGTCTATAACTGGTCATCACAGCAAGGAGCACATGGAAGGGCAACGCATGTCAATGTTAGTGAAATGTCGGTCCACTTAATGATGCTTGGCAAATTAGAAATAACCTGCTTCTGAAATGTCTGTTTTGGTTATTTAAAATTTATCATAAAATTATAGTCAACAGTTTATTTCATATTTATCTTATTTAATAAATAAGCAAGTATACATTATTTTGATTTACCTAATGCAATGGTTTGCATTTTAACATTTACCTGTGGACAATACAAAAAATGGCCACTGCCCCAGTCTATAACTGGCCTTCTCAGCAAGGAGCACATGGAAGGGTGACGCATGTCAAACAACAAAAAGAAAAATTCCCAGCTCTAACTTGCCAGCCAGCGTGCAAACAAACCGAATTAACCTGTCTAACAGTATGCATTAAAAACAGGGGTTTAGTTAGCATACATTTGTAAATAAATGCGTAAGCTACAGAGCCTTGTCATGGCACCCCAGTATTCTGTAGTTCCTAACTCTCCAATTTTAAGAGCCCCCATAGTAGAGGCATATGTATTCAATGGATAGACCAAGGGCAGGTGGACCTGAAGGAGCCCACTGCTCCTTAAAGGTACAGAAGAACACTGAACACCCAGCATGTAGCACAATGGCAGCTAAGGTGTCCAGTGCGCCCCCTCAACCAACTATTCAACAGTACAAAAAATGACCACTGCCTCAGTCTATAACTGGTCATCACAAGGAGCACATGGAAGGGCAACACATGTCAATGTTAGTGAAATGTCCATCCACTTAATGATGCTTGGTAAATTAGAAATAACCTGCTTCTGAAATGTCTGTTTTGCCTTTGGTTATATAAAATTTCTCATAAATTTATAGTCAACAGTTTTTATTTCATATTTAACTTTTTTAATAAAAAAGCAAGTATAAATTATCTTGATTTACCCAATGCAATGGTTTGTATTTTAACATTTACCTGTGGACAAGAGTATTTTTTAATCCAGCTTTCAATCCTCTTACAATGGTTTTAACTTGTGGGGTTAGAATAGCTTGTGATACATGGAAAGTCCCTCTTTTAGACCGTTCTCCAAGAGTTGTTTCTAGAAACTGAAGCAGCTTGTGAACGTTGGTTGTGTTTGCCCAGGGTGCTGGCATTTTATTTCCTGCCCATAAAAAGGAGTACTCATTCCATAAATTGTAGTGGTAGAAAACCAAAACCTTAAAAAACAAAATGAAAGCATATTAAAAAACATCCACATTCTTGCCTATGTAACAAAGGGTGTATATATTATTGGTAAAAAAGCAAAGGTTAAAAAGCTGAGCTATAAGATGAAAGTGCTGCTTAGTGTAGTGCTTTCTTAAGCATACCCCAAAGTTGGCCAGTGGAGTAAGAGGATGCTGTAGGGGGAAGAGGAAGATGGTAGTAGCATGGCTGAGCTCCTCCATCATATTTTATAGGCCATGAAGAAGACACATGTGGCTAGAGGGAGAAGAAGATGCTGCCTAGGTACAAATGCAGTTAGTATGGCTAGCAGAGTGTCCTAATGGTTTGCCACAATTGCCAGAGCATAGATTTGTCATTTGCCCATGTATTATCACAAATGCTGGTGTTATAGTTGCTTTTGAATTGCTACAATTGCCTATGTATATGTACTGCCACAGTTAATTGCTATTGCACCATCAATAGCACACCATGACAACTGGTGCACCACATTTTCTTTTTGTGATTAACATCATATACTATATCACACATGCCACCTAGCAGTTACTCATGTTTGAATAGCACATGTAGTTTGCTACTATTTATCTCTGACCCACACAAAACTTTCTAGGTGTTCAAAATTCCTAGGTAAGCATATAGGCACCCTACTGGTAATTACAATCCAGACTTCGGGGCCTACAGATGTCATTGTCATATTTTTATTGACCTATACAGTCAACGAGTACAGGTATGGATTTCTGCAGGATGAACAATATAGATTTCAGGCTATAGGCTGAACAGGACAAAAAACAGATTCTTCTTTCCACGCCAACAGAGTGCATTGATGAGGCCTCTGGGCTATTGTATCCTGACAGCTGGCAATACCACCTGTCAGAATACCTAAACAGCAACTTCAACTGATTAAATACGAGTGCTGTTTGGCTGTCAATTTTCCACCTGATTCCTTCAACAAAAGTCAACTAAAAATCACATTTTACCAAACAGTTGGCAACATTGCCAACAGGGCCACCCACTGAGTGAATGTCAGCCAATTCGTGCATGCATGACCAACTTATGGGAGAAGGAGTTCTTCGCTGTTTTTTAACATGCAATGGCTTGATGAGAAAAATGTATTTATTATGCAGGTTACTAACAGAATAAGGTCCAATAATTGGTCTACCTGTCATTCAGAAAATGATTTGTAATCAATTCTGTTGCACTTGTAGTCCAAGAGAGATGGAAGTAATAATTTTGCTAACACAGATTTAGCTTTGCAATAGAATTGTATGGAAAGCATGTAAGCAAGTAAGAATTTGCCCGTGGTATGTAAATAACTGGCACAATGCTACTTTTCAGCACAGCAGTAAGGAAAGTATACATCAAGCTGTGATCTAACATAAATCTGTATTGTACCCGGTATTATGGTTTCAGATTTATAATGTCTGCACTGCAGCATCTTTCTCCCAGAGGAAAATGTACCCTGGTCATGCAGGCACATGTGTTTTCGGAAGAAGGAACCCACGTACATAATCAAATAGCTCAAAGTACCTTATTGGAGTTTCTAGTGGAGAGTAGGGATCTGACTGTTGCATGGAGTCAGCGCCATAACAGTAAGTACACAAAAAGAACCCACAATTGTTCCCTAAATTGCCCTTAAAGTATATGTATAGCCGAACATTTTTGTAGCTTTGGGTATAGGAGAGAAGAGTTAAAATCCCTATCAGAATTTTATTGATCTCCCTGTTGGGTAGATACAGCCTCTCATTTGGTCCTGGTGACCACTGTCACCATAACAGAAAGGGATAATCCAAAACTTTAGAGTTGTCACTGGAACAAGTGGTGATAAATGTTCCAATGGGGACAACAAGTGAAAAGAAATCTCCCCAATGAGAGGAGAGGACGTATGGAGGTTGCTACTGCTTATTTATTTCTCTGAAAATGCCGAATAGCTTCAAGACATTCAGAGCACCTGGTCGGAAACAATTATACAGATCAGTTCTGACTTCACTTGGACTTTCCTGGTCTGCATGGTTGTTCCGGATCAGTGTCTTGGAAAGTATTAATGTCAGCCATGGCTAGGCAGCTAGCATTTTCAGAGGTCACCAATGGCAGTATCCATTAAGCCCAACTTCTATTATCAGCCCAAGCCTTGGCCCTTTACATAACACTCTGGTATGGTGGAAAGGGCTTGTCAACAATGCCAGGATATCAGTGCTCAAACACACAATCGTTCTATTGTCATAGACAGGAATGGATTCTAGTTATGGGCCACAATCCAATGACGTCATGTTTTTCATGGTATACCTTGGCACGGCGTTTGAAGTTGTGAAGTATGGTAACAGGTTGCATCTCTAAACAATTTCAAATTCTGGGAGCTTATAGCAAAGTATTGCAGATACACCTATTGGATTTAATAATTTCAATCACTCATCTATTCACTTTAAGATAGAAACCTACTTGGGATTATGTTGCAACCTATTCTGATATATACCTACCGTTTCTTATTTTATATTGGGGGTGTACTAAATTCATCACTTTATTGTTAACTAAACCCTTTGCACACTCTGCTCCACTTTTCCAGATGCTCCAGATTCCTGGAGATGCCAACTTGTTTCTAATTATTGACAAATAAGAGTTCTGCGGGTTCAGAGACTGATAGGATTGAGTCTGTGTACCTTGCTATGGATTTAGACTGCACAAGCTGTTCAATTTAAGAGTTAATTAGAAGCAGTCCTCGTGACGGATCAAGGAACATGCTGCTAGTGGTGAGGATAGCTGACAACCTGTATAAATGCAAACTAGTAATACAAATGATATGAAAGTGTCACTGTGGGCAAAGTACTAATATTATGCTAATCTATCAATAATTGCTGCAGGGATAATGTGTGAAAAATATATTTGTCTAGGACAGTGGAGAAGTTTAGTGGTGGTGACGTAAATATATGCCATCCAGATCAACGCAAAATGAACTGATATGAATCAATGGCAATTATCATCATACTGCACATATTTGTTTAGCATGAAGAGGAGCTATCATACAAGCTGAATAAAATCCAAATAATAATACATACTAATTAGCACTTAATGTAGAGTAACAGTCCCTGCATGTCCCAATAATTGCAAGCAAGCAATGTGTTCAGCTGAGCATGCCTTATCATGAATAATTAGAACCTCTGCAAAGGTGTCTGATGCTTTAAAGCACTTGCTATTTATACAGAGATTTTTTCAACATGCCGAAACATGTGTGTGTGAATGAGCACTGCCTGCTTGCCTTTCTGTGAATATATCCTTTACAATATATATATAGAGAAAAGTCCAGGTTACTTATGGCCATCATCCCAAGAGGCTTATTACAAAGATTAAGCTTTACAGTCTTATAATGCATGCACCACCTCAGTATTTGATCCTTCATTTTTTCATTTACCCCAGGTGTAACAACTTCCTTAATCTACAGTCAGATCCATAAATATTGGGACATCGACACAATTCTAACATTTTTGGCTCTATACACCACCACAATGGATTTGAAATGAAACAAACAAGATGTGCTTTAACTGCAGACTGTCAGCTTTAATTTGAGGGTATTTACATCCAAATCAGGTGAATTTGTGTAAGATTTACAACAGTTTGCATATGTGCCTCCCACTTGTTAAGGGACCAAAAGTAATGGGACAGAATAATAATCATAAATCAAACTTTCACTTTTTAATACTTGGTTGTAAATCCTTTGCAGTCAATTACAGCCTGAAGTCTGGAACGCATAGACATCACCAGACGCTGGGTTTCATCCCTGGTGATGCTCTGCCAGGCCTCTACTGCAACTGTCTTCAGTTCCTGCTTGTTCTTGGGGCATTTTCCCTTCAGTTTTGTCTTCAGCAAGTGAAATGCATGCTCAATCGGATTCAGGTCAGGTGATTGGCTTGGCCATTGCATATCATTCCACTTCTTTCCCTTAAAAAACTCTTTGGTTGCTTTTGCAGTATGCTTTGGGTCATTGTCCATCTGCACTGCACGGCGTCCAATGAGTTCTGAAGCATTTGGGTGAATATGAGCAGATAATATTGCCCGAAACACTTCAGAATTCATCCTGCTGCTTTTGTCAGCAGTCACATCATCAATAAATACAAGAGAACCAGTTCCATTGGCAGCCATACATGCCCACGCCATGTCACTACCACCACCATGCTTCACTGATGAGGTGGTATGCTTAGGATCATGAGCAGTTCCTTTCCTTCTCCATACTCTTCTCTTCCCATCACTCTGGTACAAGTTGATCTTGGTCTCATCTGTCCATAGGATGTTGTCCCAGAACTGTGAAGGCTTTTTTAGATGTCGTTTGGCAAACTCTAATCTGGCCTTCCTGTTTTTGAGGCTCACCAATGGTTTACATCTTGTGGTGAACCCTCTGTATTCACTCTGGTGAAGTCTTCTCTTGATTATTGACTTTGACACACATACACCTACCTCCTGGAGAGTGTTCTTGATCTGGCCAACTGTTGTGAAGGGTGTTTTCTTCACCAGGGAAAGAATTCTTTGGTCATCCACCACAGTTGTTTTCCGTGGTCTTCCGGGTCTTTGGTGTTGCTGAGCTCACCGGTGCGTTCCTTCTTTTTAAGAATGTTCCAAACAGTTGTTTTGGCCACGCCTAATGTTTTTGCTATCTCTCTGCTCAAATATGCCCTAATGTACCTTCCCTCTTTGTTTCCCACACTGCTAATATTGCTCATCTTTTTTTTCATCTGCATGTCTGCTATTAACCCCTTTTTAACCCATTCTACTCATTTTCTTTTAATTCAGTTAGCTACTGTATTAGGCACATTGTATTGTTTAAAATATCTGTTTTTTACTCACGCTAGTCCTTACCTCATTCTTAAAGTGGCAGTAGACTTAGACACCATTAATATAAATAAATACTAGAGCAGTATGTTCAGTCATCACAATGCCAATTGTTATATTATTGCCCAAAACATTTATTATTATAAATGGGTTTTTTTTTTTGCTTACTGTATTTTCTTTG